CTTTTGGCCCTCCCTTAAATTTACACACGTGTATTTCACTAGTGGAAGTCTATCGATTTGGACAGTGCTTTAGTTAGATATTCTCGCCCATGTCGATTTTTTTTTTCTCTCGTGTGTTCTCGCGCGTTTGGGGATTCGACACACTCACGTTTTTGGTGTCGGGATCCCAAACTATGGTTACTGGACTTTTTAAAGATGCTAGTTTTGGCCCTCCCCCAAGTCTACACACGTGTATTTCAATTGTGGAAATTTATTGCTTTAGACAGTGCTTGGGTTGGAGATTCTCGCCTATGTATATTTTCCTTTCTTTTGGGTGTTACTGCGCGTTTAGCGATGCGGCGCACTCGCGTTTTTGGTATGGGGATCCCAAACTATCCTTACTGAGCTCTTTTAAAGATGCCAGTTTTGACCCTTCCTCAAATCTACACACGTGTATTTCACTTGTGGAGGTCTATCGATTTGGACAGTGCTTGGGTTGGAAATTCTTTCCCAATTCAAGTTTCTTTCTTCCCGCGTGTTCTGGCACGTTAAGGACGTTCGGCGAAAATTTTCAAGTTGATAGATTTTTTTTTAAATTTTACTGCAGTCAGATAATGAGTTACTTGTGACAGAAATACGAAAAAGATTGGGGGTCACCAACTTCGTTTCAGAGATAAAGCGTGTGGAAAACTACCCTGATTTTGAAAAATTGGCGCACGTAATTTAGCTTGGTCCACAGGAGTTTTTAGCTAAAAATATCAAAGGTGAGTCAACGGAGGCAAACGATCTTAGTCATATTTTGAGGAGGTGGGTCTGTTACGTAAATAATTCCAAATGTTACCGACGTTTTCACAAAACTTAACCTTTCAAGAGGCCTTTGAAACCGTCGCACGGATAAACGAAGAGCTAAAAAGAACGGAATTCGGTGGTGCATTTTGCAAAAAATTCAAACTTCTAGTCAATAGATTTTCTTCATTTTTTCGCTAATCGTAGAAAATCGGTAGAAAAAATGATCCATCAAAAGAAAAATAGGGGTCACCGAGCGTCCAAGATCGTTAAACCCAAGTTAAAGCTATAGCAATGGCCTTCTGCCCTATCATTGTTCATTTTATTATTTAGCATGCGCGCTCATGCGAGACGTGGCGTGTGAATTTGCGTGCGCAGTAAGGATGCGCAGAAACAATTAGCGCGAACGTCTTTCAAACGAATATCTTTGTGTTTACGATCTGAACTTGAATGAAACATTCAAATTAGCAGAACAATCGTTTAACTGCGCTAAGAATTACGACACAGCGAAACGAATTCTTCACTTCGTATCAGCGGCTTCTGACCCAACAAAAAGGCTACTAATCTACTAGTATGATAATGCTGCTATTTTATGTGACCGTTCCAAATTCGCAATAAGCCAATCAGAAGCCCTGTCTACTGTCCTGATGACATCCTTCGATATCAAGTCACTGACCTGATATGGCTACGATATCATGGTCACTTGGATTTGGGCACAGTAAATACTTACATTACTTGCCAAACATTTCGGACGATTGTAATTTCGGACAAGTGTCCGAAAATAAAAATGTCCGAAATTTTCAAGCGTCCGAGAATTAAGCGTCCAATATATTTGCGGTACAGTATAGATCGTTTTCACTGTCACGCAATTAAAAAAATATATCGAAGACCATCCAGTGGAAAAAGCTGAGAAATTGTGAAGTTATAGAGAATAACTAAATAAGACAATTCTCCAGGTTTTAGGCCTGTGCGTTTCCCCAAACTTCAGATATTCGTCGAAATGTTTCGTAGATATTTACAGAACCTAGTATGAAAACGCTATGTTGGTGTACATCTGTGGTACACCAATATGGCGGCCGGAAAATAGTGTAAACATCTGGAACTTACTTTGGCTATATTGGCAACTGATTAACAGTACTGGACAAACAAGCATTTACATAAACACTTTTCCTAATGCTCTGTCTGACCTTAAAGAACAATGCTTCCTTTTTTTCTTATTTTCATTTTCTTTTCCATTAGGATCTAGCGACTTTTAAGGAAACTTTAAAAGAGCTGTGGTTCATTCTTCCCCGAGGCAAAGAGACTAAGGGCTTCTTACATGTATTTTGCGGTAGGTCCTTTGACTATGTTGTGGTTAAACGGGGTTGTCGATCTTATGAATATTTCGTACCTCAGCTCACATTGCGATATATTCTTTTTTCATAGATAAAGAACTAGAAACTAAGAAACATTTACACAGTGTCTTTCTCAACCAGGGGTAGAAGTGGAGACTAACCTATAGTTTTCCCATGTAGACAACAGCGTCAAGTGTTTTTGGCCGCCCAATGGTGCTGACATTTTGAGTTCCTGGACCTAACCCTGGCCTGACCCTATCCCTAACCCTTACCTAAGGATTAAGCTATCATAAGCCAAACTGTCACATTATTTAGTCCTAGTGGAAGCTAATAATCATAGCACGGTTTCAACCTAGTCCAGTCCTAAACTAGTCAAGGGTCAGATATGGCGTCGACCATTACGCAAAGCTTGGATATCAATGAATGCATCGACCGTTCAACACAACGTCGACCGCTAAAATGGCATCGATTATTTAGGGGCGGTAAAGGAGACCCGTCCTTAACGAAATTAGTAAGGAAATTAGCTAGGGTTTTCAATAGGGATCCTTTATCGAGCTTTCCTCTTCGTAAGATGACTCGATACACATACTTTAATAAATAAGGGTTCATATCGTGAACTCGTGCGAAGCGACACTGACGATCGTTTATCTACAATTCTATCAGCTTCCTGTGAAATACATTTGACTTATTCATTGCATTAATTTTATTTCTCGTAGCCCAGCCGATAGTTAACAATATTATTCGTCGATATGGAGGCTTCTATTTTAATTAACAATTAGACAATGAGTTCCGAGGTTTCTATCGGCTTTTAGTATAAATCTACTAGCGTTCTGTCACGAATGCCGCTCTCTGATTGGCTACGCTACTCAGTATCTATTCTGTGATAGATAGTGAGTAGCGTAGCAGTGTGCCCTTGTTAACAAAATGAGGGCCGCCTCTTGGCGTTTTCGAAGTGTCTGTGAAGAGGATTTAGATAATGTTTTGAACGACTAGTAGATTTATACTCAAACGATTAGATTATTCGTCTTGATTTTTATGCGTGATAGTTGACTCGGGCTGCGCCTACGTCAATTATCACGCGAGCTCATAATCTAATTTTTTAATAGCTGACGAGGGGCGAAGCCGCGAGAGCACCAACTACCAAAGTCCACAGAAAAAGTCAAATTATCTTATTGTCCTAGCATAACCAAAATGACACCGATCTATCAAACAACAACAAGAAGCTACTTTTATTTCAGAGTTTCATTAAAATACTATGTTGAATCAAAGAGTTACAAAATCCTGCGCCTACCGTGAAGCCGATCAGATTGCGCGTCAAGTTGCACTCTCTAGAAAAGACGTCAAAAGAAGTCTTCTTGTCGGGAGTGAGACGGCTGATATTCAGGCAAACAAGTTGTAGTTTTTCTTTTCTCATGTGAGTGTTCATTAACCTTACTCATCCTAGGTGAAGTGGGACAGTTGAAGAAACATTATGAGGGATTTCACAACTGGTTCCAGTTCTACCGTTTACAGACGACCACAAATGAATTAACCAATGTCGAGGTGGCTTCAGTGACGTATGACACAGAGGTTAGTTATTATCACGATAACTTTTCTCTCATAAAATGTCTGACTCGCCTGCTGACTCGACAAGCGAGACCTTATATTAGATCTGACAACGCCTCCGATGACCACTCTGAGAGTTTCCACCCCGGGGTAGGGGTTACTCTCTTATATGTCCTATATAGGTATCTGCAGCCGTAAATGTTATCTTTTTTTGAGCTGTTTTGGTCTGAAATAGGGTTTGCCTCTCGTCCTGTCTCTGAACTGGGTATTTTGTTTAGAAGAAACTATTTTTTCCGCACCAATATTGGCAATATTAATTAATTATCGGAGTCGAAAAACGAAGGGAACTAAGGACGTTAGAAGTAGGGCAGTAGAGAAACATTTCGCCTTCCCCTTACCGTCACCCGTCAATCAACTGAGAGTGCTTTTATCCATTCAACCCAAACCTCCTCGATTTACCGAATCCCTGCAGTTTAGCTTCATTCACGTTACTTCATTCATGGTATTATTCGGGAAATTTCTTTTCTTTAATTAACAGATCCTTGAGACAACCGAGAGAAAAAAAAAAGAGCTACATGATTTATTCACTACATTTACTCTACCTTTTGTTCTGTAGCCTACTTTTATGCAGGGCCTGGATTTCACTTGGGACGTCGCTAAGAAAAGGGGCGGTGGCAGCAGCTTGTTTGTTGGAACAAGCCCAGCGTTTGATTTTGCCATTTTCAGTGTCTGTGCTCTTTCCATATTTAAACCACCAAACCAACTGACAGAATGCTCTTGTCAAATTCACAAAACCATCTTAAGAATTACAGCGAAGGAAATTTCTGTCAAAGAGAAAAAGGTTATGACTCCAAAAGGCAAGGTTAACACAGCCTACCCATCGGCTGTTATCGGTAAGTTGAACATTGCACAAGCTCGCAATTCAAATGTCGTATTGTGTACTTGCATTATTGTTATTTGACTACATGTCCTAGGTTCCCAGAGATCAAAGTAAATACTGAATATGTATTAGAAGCTTTAATGCATTTTTTGCTATATGGTAGATTCTTACAGTTGATATGACGGATCGATTGATTTTAGCCAAACAAGTGCCATTAGGCAACCAGGAATAATGTTTGGCTAAACCTTGGGCCTACAAGCAAATGCAGAAGCGTTATGCAAGAGTAATGATTAAAGCCGGCTCACGCCAATCCTCAGTGGACCTTTACAATAAGTTCGTCTGACTTCTTTGTTCAGATTAAAGCTGACAATAAGAGGTGTGTACTTTGCCTTTTGTGGCACAATGAACAGCACACGCGCAATCGGACTACTTCGACGACGTCTCGATTTACCGATTTTTCCTTGCAAGTAAAATATCACTTAAACTTCACCTTCACACTTAGTGCTTTTAAGAAATGTCAGAGAAATAGCCTGTTTTTAATTTTCAACGTAAAAATAATGCTTTAATAGGTTCTTTTTCGAGACGCATCTTGTTTCAGTCACCATTGCATCAAACGTCGGATTCAAGCAAATTAGAATCACGTTTCGCGTCCCAACGAAATGTAACAAAACGAAGCTTTTATCCAACGTTATTGGGCTCTACTCTTCGTAAGATGACTCAATAAACATCATTTAACAAATAAGAGAGATTTTAAACGTATAAATGGCGATGAAAAGAGTATTTAGTCCCATTTGAACAAGATGTGTTCATATCGAGAACTCATGCGAAGGGAGACGTTACCTTCTGACACACTTTCTTCCCCAAAACCATCTTCAGGATCTCTGAAATCATTTTAAATTGCTTCTCGTGTCTCCGCCGTTTTGAAGCGGATTTACTTGGTCGCTCAAAAATCGTCATTTACACCAAACTCAAGTATCTTGGCTCAAAATCGCTCAGTAACCGGGAAAATCTGTTATCATCGTGTACTCCAAGTATGAAGAAATCAGAAGAAATGTAATGTTTTTTTTTTCTTTTTTTTTTTTTTTGCATAATTTTGTTAGTGCTATTAGCACTGGTGGGCCTGCAACTTCAAAGCGCTCCGGAAATGGAGCGCGACGTTAAGCGACGTTACGCAACGTCAAGGGGCGTGATATTGACTGATAACTGAATATTCCATAGTTTTTTCTCACAAGCCCCATAACGTGAGAAATTAAATAGTTGTCGAGTTTTTGGTCTAAGCTCTTTTTTCCTTTGTTCAAATATTGCGTGCAGCCATCTTATTTTTCTTTCCCCTTATTCGATCACTCCACCAGTATGAGACCCAGTTGTTTTTTTGTGTTGTTTGAGGGACCACAAGTTTTGCCAAAAAAAACGTCTTCGGGTTAAAATTCAATGACCTATTTTCCCCATGAGACACGCATGCAGAGAATCATGGAAATTATATTCATCAAAACAAATATTCAGTCCAAGATGACGAATACAACAATGCAACCACGATTCGCTGCAGGCTCGTGTCATGAAGGGAATTGGTCATTATTCTTTCATCAGTCACTCTTCGACTCGCAGGTTTTCAGGAACACTAAACTCTTGTTAGAGAACTTCTAAATATTTTTAATTAAGATCAGCCTGACAGATAGGAAAATCAAGACATCCGTGATTGCTGCATGCCTTCCATGTCTTCAACGCCTTCTTGTTAAGTGAAGAAGTTTGAAACTCTAAATATCGGTCTTTGAAATTCAGCACTATTACATAATTGAAACGGAGGATGACCATGCAAGTTCTTTACACGTCCTTTAAATTTATGACATGCAATTTCTGTCGAACATAGCTGATCCAATGTGCACAAGCGTTGATCCCAACACGAGAACAAATTGTGGAACGGCTGGGATAGACGAACACACCTGTGGAGAAAGAGGCTGCTGCTTTGACTGGCAGCAATACACTGCCCAAACCCATATGTGTTTTTATCCTGCAAGTAAGTCAAATGCCACCAAATTATGCAGATAAATTGGATAAAAAAAGATTCTACAGTACAAGATAGACTGCACAATTATTTGGAAGAAACACATAAGTTGTTGAAAGAAACACAGGAAAACAGGGTTTAAAGTAGATATGATCAGAATTACCATAGTGATTAATCCAATCTAGCATGGACTTTTTTCTTCATTCTCTTTTGTACACAGAGGTCTGAACTCAATGAGTTAGATAGCACCTTAAGAATTCACGGTCTTACTGGGTTGAACAAAAATCAGTTTTATGTAACCGTTAATTTGATCATAGCTAATTTGTAACATACAATTTCCTAAAATAATAAACGGTTAAGACTTTTTTACGTAAGCTGTTCTCTAATTTTTTTTGTAATAGACCACGAATGTCATGTCGCCCCTCCCCACACTAAAGTAGATTGCGGTTCTCCACCTGGAATAACCAGGATTCAGTGCGAACAAGAAAAGAACTGTTGTTTTGACGAAAGCCCTGCCCAAGGTGCTCCTAAATGCTATCAAAAAGTTCCAAGTAAGAGTATCCTAAATTGCATTTAATTTATCATTGTAAGAACTTAGCGGACTCGAACAGAACCTTAAAGTGGTACTATGATCAAATTTTTCCCCCTTGATTTTTGGGTGTATCACATTAAATTCCATGAAAGAATAAAAACGCCGTTCACTTTTTGCAAATATCTGCATTAGTTCCGGAGATATTTAAGTTTGAAATAATGTGTAAAACATGCAAATGAGATGACTGATGACGTCATACA